GCCAATTAAGAGATCAAAATTTAATAACGCAGAAAGCAGTCACTGCTCTAAGGAGCTCCAGAAATGCACTTTAGAGATACGACTCTCGGAAATAAAATATTCAATCGTGAATTCTTAAAGAGGCTGTCCACTTGTACATAGTACACCACATGGTGCTTGAACCCTTTGTACATCCAACTATCCAAGTATATCTGTAACGGTAAAATATCATAGGTTTACGAAGATGGTGTACCAGCAGTGAAAACACCAGCACCAAGAAAGAATGCAAATCATACACTTGACGTAGACCATGTTCCAAGAGTGTCATTGCATAATCCTCCAAAAAAGAAAGGGAAGCTAAAGAAGGGGACCTCTGTGTGCGGCGTGGGTTGGGTCTGTCAGTTGGATATGTCGTAATATTTTCCTATGTTTATTTGGTAATTATAAAGCAATTGGTCATTGTTGTAACCATGATTCAATAATATCTATTAATACTGCCACAAGATGGACTTGTGGATGGTGCAAAAATTGAAGTATGACGCTTGTTAGCTCCAAATACATGAGCTCACAGAAAAATGAACTTGAAAATGGCAAAGAGTCAATCGGCTTAAATCAAACAATGAAAGTGATGAGAGTTACAGGGCTATTTAATTTCTTCAGGGAATTAGATGGAAAATTTTAACTATTTGGAGGGGAGAAACATCTCCTTGATGAGCTTGGTATAATAGCGACAACCTAAGAGAGGCAACTTCCTAGTTCCTAGCCATGCACACAGTTAGACAAGTGACAATATGAGTTATGAAGGAAATGAAATGTATTAATATAAAGGCATATGTTGTTGAGCATAATCCTAAATCAGCTGTAGGTTATAGTGAATGGTTTAGCATGACCTAGAGAATTCAGAAAAGAATTGTACAGGTTATAAGGGAGCGCAAAGATGCGTGAATGGTTTAGCATGACCTAGAGAATTCAGAAAAGAATTGTACAGGTTATAAGGGAGCGCAAAGATGCTGATAGGAACATTTCTAGCAAGGCTGTATCAGAAAAGAATTGTACAGGTTATAAGGGAGCGCAAAGATGCTGATAGGAACATTTCTAGCAAGGCTGTAGTTGGAGTTTCTGCACTAGTTAAATCTGTAGATGCATGATTGTCTACAAGCTGTGGATGAAACGTAGTACACACTGGTGCACTAGTTAAATCTGTAGATGCATGATTGTCTACAAGTTGTTATTCACTGTTTCAAAGATAACCATTTCCTACCTTATCATAGTCCTTAATTAGTAGATCTGGGTTTCAGTATCAATTCAGGAAGGGTATAATATGCACCAGTGTGTACTATGTTTTCTATCAATGTCTTAGAAAGCACTAGGCTCTTCTAGGAGCCGGACCAAGCACCTAGCACCTAGGCGCTTAAGCTGCACTTCGGTGTTTTTAGCATTAAGAGAGGAAGGATTCTTTTTGAAAATTCAAATCTTATCATCACCATTTCTCTAAGATGGACTTTGATGTATAATTTTGGTTTCAGCCCATTCTCTTCATCTGTTTCTATGCCTAAACGAGCAATATACCCCCTTTTTGATGCAATGCAGTCCATGTGAGCAGCCACATGCTCCCCTTGGCGCTCCCAAGACCTAGGCAGGTGACCTGAGTACTACTTAGGCCCAAGCAAGCACCCAGACCACTTTTTAAAGCAATGTTTTGTATGCCCTCTACCAAATTGATATCAAAATCATAGTCTCCAAATATCTGCCAAAGCATGTTAAGCTAAAGACAATTAAAGGAAAGATATAACAAAAAGTTAGCTGCAAGAAGGATATTACCCTCTTGATCTCCAATGATCAACTAAGAAAGAACATGCAGTCATTTAAATTTTAATAGTATGCTATAATATTTGAAGGATTAAGAAACATGGGTGTCTGATGGCACTAACAGTCTCTTTGTAGCCTTCTAGGAGGACACACTTCGATTGCCACATACATTCTTGACGAAGGTGTCTTCAATCTGTTCCTGAAACCCTTGCATGCTTAATGTAGAAGTATAACTCTTGTTTATGTCATACAAGTGCTTGACAGTTAATTAGTACTGAATGTGTAGTAAGCTTGGTACATGACCTATTTAAGTTTGTTTGAGTTGGATCATTTGAGTGATAAAAGGATTTAAGCATTTTAAATGGAATTTGCTAAGAATGTTCTCCTCGCATGGAAGTTTTTTTTTTTCAGAATAGCATTCACTTTATAAATTTGCACAGGAATGAAATACACTCTACACTTGATGATGAAGTTGGGTGACGAATTGTAGAAAGAGCA